AATCGTCGTGAACGTCTGTCGCAGTGACAGGGATGGAAGGAGGTTACTTTTCAACATGGGGCTCTCGCGTGCTCGCCGCGGACATAGAGGCACGAGGAGAGCGCTAGGGAGGAGACGGAGCCGCCGGGTGAGCGCAGGTAACGCGCCGGCCGAGAGCCGAGACAGGGCCAGACCGCCGAGGAAACGCCAACCGGGAAAGCGCCGGAGGCGGGAAGGCGCCGGCCGGAAGACCCGAAGCGGAAGTCAGGAGGACCGGCGGGATCGCAGCTGGCAGGAGGTGGGTCCGAGATCAGCCAGTAGCGAAATCAACCGACTCAAAGTTCAGAAAAATCCGAAATGAGCCGGGTCCGAGTGCAGCCAGAGATGGCGGGCGCGCCGGGAACGCCCGAGCGAGCCCAGGTCCGAGGTCAGCCGGGTCCGAGACGGCGGGATGGCGGGCAGACGCCGGCGGCCAGTGGAGCGCCCGGCGTGGAGCCGGGCCAGGAGCACCCCCAGCCAGAGGCCGGGGAAAACGTCGAGCGGGAGAACCCCAGCCAGAAGCTGGAAGGAGCGCCGGAGGCAGGCCGGGTCCGAGATCAGCCGGGTCCGAGATCAGTCGGGTCCGAGTTCAGCCGGGTCCGTCATCAGCCGGGTCCGAGATCAGCCGGGTCCGAGATTTGCAGGGGCGGAGACGCCGAGGAGACGCTGGCCGGGGGAGCGCCGGGCCGTGGAGCCGGGCGGAGAGCACCCCGGCCAGAGGCCGGGAGAAACGGCGAGCGGGAGACCCCAAGCAAGAAGCCGGGAGGAGCGCCCGAGGCAGGCCGGGTCCGACATCAGCCGGGTCCGAGATCAGCCGGGCCCGAGTTCAGCGGGGTCCGAGATCAGCCGGGTCCGAGATCAGCCGGGTCCGAGATCAGCCATGGGAGACGCCGGGGAGACGCCGGCCAGGGGAGCGCCGAGCTGGAGCCGGGCCGGGAGCACCCAGGCCAGAGGCCGGGAAAAGCGCCGGGCGGGAGAACCCCAGCCGGAAGCCGGGAAGAGCGCCGGAGGCAGGCCGGGTCCGAGATCAGCCGGGTCCGAGATCAGCCGGGTCCGAGTTCAGCCGGGTCCGAGATCAGCCGGGTCCGAGATCAGCCGGGTCCGAGATCAGCCGGGTCCGAGAACAGCCGGGTCCGAGTTCAGCGGGGTCCGAGATCAGCCAGGTCCGAGATCAGCCGGGCCCGAGATCAGCCTGGTGGGAGACGCCGGGGAAACGCCCGCCAGGGAAGCGCCGAGCTGGAGCCGGGCCGGGAGCACCCAGGGCAGAGGCCGGGAAAAGCGCCGGGCGGGAGAACCCCAGCCGGGAGCCGGGAAGAGCGCCGGAGGCAGGCCGGGTCCGAGATCAGCCGGGTCCGGATCAGCCGGGTCCGAGTCAGCCGGGTCCGAGATCAGCCGGGTCCGAGATCAGCCGGGTCCGAGATCAGCCGGGTCCGAGTTCAGCCGGGTCCGAGTTCAGCGGGTCCGAGATCAGCCGGGTCCGAGATCAGCCGGGTCCGAGTTCAGCTGGGTCCGAGTTCAGCCGGGTCCGAGTTCAGCTTCTTCCTTTATGACCCCCCCATTAAGCCACGCCCAAAGCTGCGTTCACTGTGCTCTGGGTCCCCGCCCCCCGTGTGCGTCTCGCGCGCGCCCTGTCGGGGCTGGGTATCTCGCGAGGGCCTCCCGCGGCCGCCTCCGCACCCCTGGAGGGGGCGGGCCTCTTCGGAGGGCTCAGGAGGCCTGGGCAGGGGGCCACAAGCGAAGCCTACCCCTGCCCCCCACGACTTCCGAGGGGGAGGGGTGGTGTTCGCTCCTCACCACCCACCAAACCACCCCAACCCAACCCGAAGGCTCCAAATTGCCCTCCATTTCCAGTGGGGGGGGGTCGGGGAGTGTTGAGAAAACGCATATGAAACCCTTACCCCCACCAACCCGAAATTCGGATCTTCTGGTTGGGTTAGGGTGGTCTGGTAGGTAGTCAGCTCCGGTCGCCTCGCCCCCGAGCGGAGTGAACCCCGCCCTCCCCCTCGGAAGTCGTGGGGGGCAGGGGCAGGGGCGGGCTTCGCATGTGGCCCCCTGCTCGGGCCTTCTGCCAAGCTTTCCGAGCCTTCGCGGGCCCTCCTCCAGGGGGCCCCCCCGGGGGGCCCGTCGCCCCCCCCGGGGGAGCCCCGCCGCACTCCGAGGGGGCCCGCCCCCGATCCGCGGGGCCCCTCGGGGGGCCCCGCCGCGAGGGCCGCGGCGCCTCCCTGGACGAGCTGGGGCCGCCATGGGTCGGGCTCCCGCCTTTGCTGCGGGGGGGAGGCCCCCTGGGCGCCCCGAGGGTGCTTCGCCTGGCGCCGCCCGGGGCCCGCCTTCCCCGGGCGGTGCCCGCGGCGGCCGGGCGGGCGGCGCGCCTGCCCCGCCGTCTGGTCTGCTCGGGAGTCCGGAGGAGAGAGAGGAGGGGGGGGAGGACGGCGAGGGCGAGGGCGACGATGAAGGATGGGGCTCCCGCTCCTCCCCGCCCCGCCCCCTCCTCCCGCCCTCCTCTCGCCCCCCCCCCCTCCCCCTCCCTCTTCCTGCCCCCTCTCCTCCCCCTTCCCTCCTCTTCCTTCCTTCCCCCCCTGCTCGTCCTCTCCTCCCTTCTCTCCGCCCTCCTTCTCCCTCCTCTTCCACCTCCGTCCAAGCCGTTTCTGTAGCGCCTCCTCCTGCTTCGCCTCCCTGGAAGACTCCGGACCGCCCCGGGTGTGTCACTCTCGCGGCAGCGGGACAATATATATAACTATATATATATATATTGTTTTCTTTGTTTTTTGTTTTTTCTACGGCCAGGCTCGCCCAGTTCACCGCCTGCGATCATCCGCGGGAGGCCGCCGTGGGAGGGTTGCGCACGCGCGCCTCTTCCTCTTCGTCCTGCGCTGCGTCGCCGCGCTGCCCGCGGAGCATCCGCCAACACAGGTGCGGCCGCTGATCGACCGGAAGCGGCCCTGATGAGGAGGAGCAGCAGAGGCGGCAGAACGAGCACCAGCTTTATAAGAGTCCGAGTCCAGTCCCTAGAGCTGGTCCACTTTGCCCCTGCATCGTCAAGCTGTGCGCGTGGCTTCCTCTGAATCCGCATGGCTTCCGCTGCTTTGCGCATGGCTTCGTCTGTATGCGCGCAGCTTCCTCTGCTATCCGCACGGCTTCCTCTGTATCCGCATGGCTTCTTCTGTATCCGCGTGGCTTCTTCTGTTCTATCCGCTTGGCTTCCTCTCCTGTTCCAGTGGCTTCCTCTGGCTATTCCGATGGCGTCCCAATCATCGTCCAACAATCGTCGAGCTGAGAAGCAGAGCCGAGCAGAGCAGATAAGAGTAGAGTGGATCAGAGGAGAGTGGGGTAGAGCGAAGTAGAGGAGGAATTCAGTGGATTAGAGAGAGTAGGGTTAGATGATAGCAGAGTGGAGTAGGTTAGGGTAGGGTAGGGTAGGGATCGGGTAGAGTAGAGTAGGGTAAGAATAGAGTAAATTATAGTAGAGTAGGAGTGTAGAAGAGTAGAGTAGTGTAGGAGCAGAGTCCACAAGAGTAGAGTACAGTGGGGTAGGGTAGCATAGAGTATGGTTGAGTAGAGCTGGGTCGAACAGTGTGTGGCACACGGTAGATCGAGTCTGGCATAGCCAAGTCAAGTAGATACGATTAGAGTGTGTAGTAGGGCAGGGAAGAGTATATCAGAGTAGGTTATAGTGAATGGTTATGCTGGAGCGCAGAAAGGTAGTTTAGAAGAGAGCATTTCAGGACATACTATAGTATAGTAGAGTAGAGTAGGAATAACGTCGAGCAAGAGTAGCGTAGAGTAGGCGTAGAGTAGGTTAAGGGTAGGGTCGGGTGGGATAGAGTAGAGTGGGATAGAGCAGAGCGAAGCAGACTAGGTTATGAGGTATGGGTAGAGTAGGGTGTCATAGGGCAGAGTAGAGCAGAGCAGAACGGAGCTGAGACAACTCGAGTAGAGTGTAGTTGAAGCAGAGTAAAGCAGAGTAGGGTAGAATAGAGTATATTCGATTCTATGTCACGTCAGGATAGGATAGGGTCGAGTATTGTAGAGTAGCATCGAGTAGAGTAGGGTATACTAGAGTATATTATATAATAGGTTTGGGTAGGGTAGGATCGGGTCGGAGGCGGGCCCCGGCCAGAGGAGGAGGGAGGGCCCCGGCCGAGGCCGGCCCCGGCCTCGGCCGGATCGGATACCCTCCCGAGGCGGGCCCCGGCCGGAGGAGGAGGGAGGAGGAGGAGGGAGGAGGGAGGAGGGAGGAGGGAGGAGGGAGGGGGAAGAGGAGGAGGACGAGGAGGAGGAGGAGGAGGCGGAGGAGGAGGAGGAGGGAGGCCCCCCAACCCCCGCCCGAGTGCGCCCAGCAGGCGGCTGCGTTGCTCCATGCCCGGGCGGGCCTCTCGGCTTGGCTCTGTTCACGCTGCCCTGCCCGGTCCGCACGGGCCGCCTGCTCGATCGGTGCTGCACTTCGCCACGTCGGGCCCCGCAGTCTCTCCGCTGCCGCCACGCGAGAACGCAACCAAGGGCTCCCTCGAGGGCGCGAAGTTATTCGCGCTTCGCGGTCCTCGTTCCTTCTCCCCCTCCTCCTCGTCCTCCTTTTCTCCCTTTGGGAGGGCGGCGCGAGAGCGCGAAGTTATTCGCGCTTCGCGCTTCGCGCAGCGCGAAGCGCGAACTTAGGAGCCCTTGGCAACCGTCCGAGGACTCGGGCATGCCCAGCGCCAAAAAGGAGGCAGGACGGGCGTGGGAGGAGTAGAAGGAGGCTGGCTGGTTGGTTCGCTCTTGCTCTCTCTCTCTCTCTCTCTCTCGCTTTGTTGAGGCTCTCCGGGGGAGACCTGGCGGAGGAGGGCCACCTCTTCCCGACGGGCCGTGCGCTCCAGTCGCAGCGGCCGCGTGCAGGCGCCCGAGGAGCTGAGCCAACCGTTCTTAGCTACGCTCGAGGACCACTCCTCCCCCTCGACTGCCATCCTCCTCTTCCTTCTCCTCGTCCTTCTCCTCCTCGAGCTGGCCAGGTGGTCCCCATCGCCGTGTGCCTCCTTCTGGCGAAGAGGCGATGGCCCCGGCACAAGGACCGTCCGCGAGTCTTTCGCCTCCAGCCGAGCGGCAGAGCCCGAGGCAGGGACGATGATGATGAAGACGAAGAAGAGAAGGATGGTGATGAGGAATGATGATGATGAGGAGGAGGAGGAGGAGGAGGAGGAGGTGGAGGATGAGACTTGTCCTGCGAACGTGTAGGGTCCGTTCTATTTCGCTCAAGCCTTGTACCTTCAGGGAGCACCTGTCCTTCTATGCGCCCCGCTCTCCCGCGGATCCCGCCCTGGATCCTCGTCTGCGCGTGGTGCACGCTGGACGCCCTGTGGCCTGGTCTGGTTCGCGGCGGCGGCGGCGGGGGCCCCTTGGAGAGCCGCCTGTAACGGTGCTGGCGGCCGAGGCCGATGACGATGACGGGGATGATGCTGATGATGATGTTGGGGACGACGATGCTGATGATGCTGGTGATGATTATGGTGGTGGTGGTGGTGGTGGTAATGATGATGACCATGTTGGTGATGTTGATGAAGATGGTGACGACGACGACGACAACGGCTGGAGACGACGACGATCATGATGTTGATGGTGGTGATGCTGGTGGTGGTGATGGTGATGCTGATTCTGCTTATGATGCTGATAGAGATGGTGACGATGCTGCTGACGTTGATTTTGCTGACACTTATCATGATGTTGCGTCTGTTGTGGTTGATGATGATGATGCTGATGATGACGATGATGAGGATGATGAGGATGATGATGGTGGTGACTGTAACGATGCTGGCTATGTTAATGATGATGATATTTATGGTGGTGCAAATTATGATGATGCCGATGATGATGATGATGATGATGATGTCACAAGTGATGTTCAGGATGATAAGGCTTCTGCTGATGCTGACGTATATGATGCTGCTGTTGTTGATGATTCTGACTATGATTTTGCTGCTGCTGATGATGGTGATGATGATGATGGTGATGATGATGCTGATGATGATGATGATGATGGTGATCATGCTTATGATAGCGACGGTGATGATAGTGATGACGAATTTGACAATGCCAGCCTGATCCTATGCCGACACTTCCATACCATCCATGCACAACAAGGAACCCTGATCGACTGAAGACGCGTCCAGCTGGCCTGCCAGCAAAACTTCCGACGGGTTTGACGGTGCTGGAGTCGCCCATGCCTCAGCCGTTGGCTGGACAGACTGTCTGGCCACCTCCTGCGCCAGCACCTCGTACGACTTGTCCACTTGCTCCAGCTCCGTCGCCGTCGTCTGAATCAGTTGACGCTGTACTTCAAGTTGTTCAAACGTAGCGATGCTATGGAGCCCTTTCTCCATGCGATGACCATGCATGACCCGATCGTGCTGACTCTTCGCCAACTGGTGCTCCAAGGCCACCAAGAGGACAGGCGGAGGGCCCGAGGCTGCAAGTTGAGCACGGCAGCGGCCAGCCTCGTGCGTGTCTCTGCCTTTCTCGCGCAGGGCGATGATTGGCTGGAGCTCGTCGATTGTGAGGCCTGCTTGGGCTTCTCTTGAGGTTCCTGCGCACCAGGAGCTAGCGTCGCTGGGCAGCGACCTGGAAATAGCAGCTCAGGAGACCCTGAAGCCCATGATGACTTGGCAGTCGACTCCGTCTTGATGACGCATCAGTGCTCACAACAGTATGGCTTGGGAGGGTTGTGGCGGCAGCCGCAGATCTCGCAAGCGTGTTTCCCACTGCCAGCAGAATGCACAGTGCCGTCGCGCGGAACCTGCAGACCAGGAGCAACAGTAGGCCACGTCTCGCGCCATGGGGGTGGGCTGACTCCGGCCGACGACGGGCCTTTGCCTCCCCCCTTTGCCAGTGCCCCAGCTGGTGTGACAAGAGTTCCAGGATATACGATCTTTCCCACTGCTGCCGCCGCTGCGCGCCATGAGCCATGGGGGACCGTGGTGAAAACGGCTGCCCCGATGAGAGCAGGAATCCTGGAAGTGGAGGGATGAGGTCCTTCAGCCTCAGCAAGAGCCAAGCTGACCGCAACAGCGGTGCGCTGGTCTGCAGCTAGGCTGCTGCAAGCCCAAAGACTCGGGCCAGAACGTCTGGAGGAGGAGGAGGAGGAGGAGGAGGAGGAGGAGGAGGAGGAGGAGGAGGAGGAGGAGGAGGAGGAGGCGTTGGTGGGGTGCCGCTGATGGGGATGTGGATCGGCGGGTGGCGGGGGACGGCGGTGGGCGCTGCTTGTCCCCTTCTCGCCTGGGGCGGGTCGCGGGCGCGCGGAGGTGGACGCTGCGGACTTCGACCGGAGCGTGGTCCAGTCCAGGAGCAGGATGGTCCTCCAGGATCTCGACCTTCCTGGACCTCCTGGACGCGACGCCACGGCTGGCCCCGCCTCGAGATCCCGTTCAGGGCGCGCCCCGGCAGAGGTTTGGGGTCTGGCTTCCCCCGATAGGCTGCCACTTCCCCTCCCCCCCGCTGCCCGTGCCTGAGCCTGTGCCCCCTGGCTCCGCCAGTGCCCCGAGGGAGGAGGAGGGAGGAGGGAGGCAGGAGGAGGGAGGAGGAGGGAGGAGGAGGGAGGAGGAGGAGGAGGGAGGGGGAGGGAGGGGGAGGAGGCGGAGGCGGGAGGGAGGAGGAGGGAGGGGGGAGGGAGGAGGAGGAGGAGGAGGAGGAGGAGGAGGAGGAGGAGGAGGAGGAGGAGGAGGAGAGGAGGAGAAGGAGGAGGAGGAGGGAGGAGGAGGAGGAGGAGGAGGAGGAGGAGGAGGAGGAGGAGAAGGAGGAGGAGGAGGAGAGGAGGAGGCGGAGGAGGAGGAGGAGGAGGAGGAGGAGGAGGGGGAGGAGGAGGAGGAGGAGGAGGAGGAGGGGAGGAGGAGGAGGAGGAGGAGGAGGAGGAGGAAGGTCGGAGGCGGAGGAGGCGGAGCAGGAGGAGGAACAGAGCGGAGGAGGAGGAGGAGGAGGTGGAGGAGGAGGAGGAGGAGCAGGCGGAGGAGGAGGAGGAGGAGGAGGCGGAGGAGGAGGAGGATAGGGGGAGGAGGAGGCGGAGGCGGAGGCGGAGGCGGAGGCGGAGGAGGAGGAGGAGGAGGAGGAGGAGGAGGAGGAGGTGGTGGTGGTGGCGCTCCTCAAGAGTCCGAGGCGGATCGAACTAGGGAGGATGGGAGCTGATGCCCCCCTCACATCTGCAGCTCGGCACCTCACCCACGAGGGGCACTAGCGGCGGCCCCGTGCATGCACGGGGGTAGCCAGTGCACAGCCCGTGCCGAAGCGGCTCCTTCCTGCACCAGGGAGGCGAGAACAAAAACTTAAACCTCAAACTTAGACTTAAACCCACGGTCCAGCAGCAAGCAGCAACGACGCGGAAGAAGGGCGAGCGAGCGGGCGCGCTACCAAGGCACCACCGCCCACCCCCCACGGGAGGGGAGCACTGGCGCCGAGGGAGCGCCCCCGAGGGGGGAGGAAAGCCCGAGGGCCGAAGGAGCGGGAAGGGCGAGAAAGCGAGAGAGACGACCAGACACGACGAGGAAGCAGGAGGGGACCGAATACTCGCACAGACACTTAGCCTAGACAGGATTTCTAATTCAGAACGCACACTAACACAGAACCCGAATTCAAAGGCCCAGAAAAAAGTTCGCTGCTCCAAAAAAGTTAGGCGGGGTGGAGAAAAGAGGGACGGCGGCAGCAGCACACGGTGCCTTCAGCAGCAGGCTCAGGTCACGAGGCGCACAATGGAGGTACCCTCCCCGCCGACACCGATCCCCTCGCGGTGGTCAATCCAGGAGGGCGGTACGCCTATGATCCACTCAAGGTCACTGAACCCCCTGTGGCAATCATCGTCAACGGGCGTCGCACCTATGTTCCACACGCGGTCCCTGAACCACTCGTGGCAATCATCGATGACAGGCACCGCACCTATGATCCACTCAAGGTCCCTGAACCACTCGTGGTCACTGTCGATCACCAGCTAGCGGCTAACCTCCAGAACCTTCTGGCCCTCCAGCTCTAGATGCCCAGGCGGCCTCGGCCCAGAGAATGCCGCACGCTTCTCCGCCGACTCGATGGCGCTCACGAGGACCTTCTCGAACTTCTCATCCTTCATTCCGATGATGAGACGCTTCTTCTTGCTGTCGTACATCTTCTCGGTGCGGAAGAGGCCCACGATGTGCTGTGCCTCCTTCGACCCTGGCTTGAACTTGTCCAAGTACTCCTTCAGCGGAGCCTTGAACCCTTCCTCGCAAGACTCCAACATGGTGATGATCGCAGCCGTCAACAGGAAGGAGTCTGGCGCCCCTAACCCATGTCCAGCCTTCCCCTTGACCCTCGGCAGGTACTCCTCGGCATGGGCCTTGGCCATGGCCCTCATGATGGGGCCCTCCACTAGCATCTCGATCTCTACCGTGCACGCTGCGGCCAGCAGCCTGGCCTTTTGATTAGCAATCACACCCAGCTTGAGCGCTAAGTCGATATTTTGCTTGTCCTCCGTGCATTCAATCTGGCGGTACTTCACAGAGCGACCTCGTGGTTCAGCTGCAGCGTCGCCAGGCCCTGCATGCGCGAACTGTTCCTTCCACATCGGCCGAACAGCACTGCACCTCGGGCGATGGGCACTCACAGCCAGGTGCGCACAAGACCGCGACCGAAACACTCGAGCCAGACATCAACGAATTCACACGCACACCGCACCTCTGAGGCACGGTCATCAGGGTAGATGTGTTAGCATATGCGCTCTCGCCACTTTGTACGTGGCGAACTCCTCACTACACAGTTCACACCAGTAAGGGGGGTCGGCAACATGTTGATGCACCGTGACAGACCCTCTCGACCTCGGACATTTTCCTCTCTTAATGGCTTGATCCAAGTGTTCCGACGCATATCGTTTTGTCGTATAAAAGTTGTTGCACAAGATACATTTGTTTGATATAGTAAGTATTTTTGCCGGCTGCTTTTTCCCGTGTCCTTCTGCATTTGAGTTAGACCGATGCAGCAGTAGCTGGCGACGCGTGTCGAAGCCCAGACCACGGCCTTCAATGTCGCACACGTGTGGTGCGGGAGTGGGCGGCTCGGGTAATTCTGGCTGAAGTGCCGCAGGATCTGGCTCTCCGTCTCCCTCCCGTGGTACCTCCTGCTCAGCTCCTCCCACCTCTCCCTCAACAGGTTGTTCTCCTCCACCTCCTCTTCTGTTCCCTCCCACCACCACCTCCTCCATCAGCCTCTCCGAGATCTCCGCATAGACTCTAGGTCCCCCCGCCACCCTCTTCAGCTTCTCAACCGGCACCTTTAGTACTGCCTCCCGCACTTCAGCATCGCAAAAAAACGCAACTGGGCGTTCCACGAGCGCGGGCAGGATGTCTGGCATCTGTAAGAACTCGACGCAGGCAGAAAGATCAAGTAGCAGCTGGTTCCACCACGGCTGCACCGAGCTCCCTCCAGGGGCTCTTGCCGAAAAGCCCATCTCGTCACACAGGTTGTGCTGGTCCCAAGCAGCGTAGCCGAACAGAGTAGCGATTAATAAGACATGTCTCTCAGGGTTCCGAATGATTTCTTGCCACCAGCTGATCCTCTGCGCCCGCAGCAGGCTGAAGGGTGTACGGATTCGCAGAAGCTCTCGAACCTTAGAGTTGGGCAAGGCGGCGTGGTGTTTGGCCCTCAGCTCCGTCGCTTCAACCTTGAGACACCCCTTGCCCTGTAGAGCTTTTCTAACTAGTTTCGCCTGCACGCCCTCAATCTTCTGAAGCTCCGCCTCAGGAAGGGGGTACGCGAGCACCTCCGATAAGAGCGAGGCGTCGATCATGCTCTTGAAAATGACGCCCCTCCACCTTTCATTCGTAACCTCGCTCCAGAAACTCCCTAGGACCGCGAACGTTTGCTTTGCCCGCCTGACCCGATACTCAACCTCTGGTTTCGATCTCCCTTGGAAATGTAGCTGGCCACCCAGATACCTCGCCACTCTCTGAACCTCCCCCTTCATTACGTCCTTGTCCTTGTACAGTCTCCTCATCCCATACTGTATGCCCCTCCCCTCCAGCTGCACCAATGACACCTGCTTGTCCCCGTTCAGCGCTACCCCCTCCTCCCATAGCTCCGCATCGAGGTGCATGAACTGGGCATTCGTGCGCAGCCTGCAGTGAGCTGCGTCTTCCACGGCCGACGTACGAGCGATGTCGTCGGAGAAGCTGGAAACAGAAATGTCGAAAAACTCCCTCGACAGGGCCCCGATGCGCTGCTTGGCTTCATCCTCTGTTGCGAGACAGTGCCGAAGCCACTTGATCTGCACATAGATCCCGCTGGCGTCAGAATCCCGAAACCTATCGATCGCGGTGTTGTAAGACCCCAGGAACCATATGCATGCGACCGTGTCCCCAGGGAGAGTGCCTTGCCCTATGCTCACCTGGAGGCCCCCATCCACGCACTCAATCATCACCTGTGCGTAGTCCAGCCTTTGCTCCAGTAACATAGCTCCGAACTCGTCGCAGTGCGCGCGCACATACGCTTTCTGCCTATCATGATGGATACTGTGAAATGCATTCGTTGCGTCGTACAACGTTGTTACCCTACCCATTTTAGAGCCGTGCAGCCTAGCAGCGCAAGCGTTCTGCACAAGGATCGCCTCTTCCCGCCGCCTCCCCCGAAGATAACCGAACGCGTATGGCCGATCGGCCTGCACAGTCAATGCTGGGTACGAACGCCAGAGCTGAGCATAGTAGGTTTTGCCGAGTGCGTCAAGCGAATGCACAAGCCTCTGGCCCTTGCATTCACTTTTTCCATTGAGCTTATCCAGCGAGAAAGCGTGGCTACGATGCCACTGCAGCGGCGTCTCGGAATGCATCATAATGGCCGTGCAAATCCACGCAATGCATTTGGTGATACATGGAAAATACCAGTCCTCTACATTTTCATATTTCTCCAGGACCTCGCCTCGCGAGTACTTATATTCGTTGGGGTTCGTCATCAGCCTCCACACCCCTGCGGGAAAACTCCAGGCTGGCGGCGTCCGCCTCAGGCGGGCCGACAACAGCTGCCTTCTCAGGCTTTCAAAGTCATCATTCGCTCTGGCAAGTGTGTCGGGCGTGAGCGATGTGCACACAGGCCTTGTCGCCCTTCGTGCTTGCTCCTCTTCCTGGACAGGGGGCCTCGCAGCAAATCCTCCCTTACTACCCTGCTGCTCCAAAAAAGTGCGCCACGTGCTCATTTCTAAGCGAGTCTTGGGGGCACAGAAGTTGCGTTGCTTAGGTCCTAAGTGGTTCTTCGCTAAAAGCCTAGAAAGTTTCCAACAGAGCGCCATGTCTCCTTCACTCTTCGCAATTTCTAATTCTCTCACATATAGCCCCATGCGCCTAGATCTATCCCGGCGCAACTGGAGTCGAACCTTTTTGTCTCGTTCTCGACACCTCGCGATGACCGCTGCAAGACACGCACTGGGTTCGTACACCTCTAAACATGCACGCGATGCGTAGCACATGCGCCCGAGGAAATGTGGCGACAGGAAATCATGGATCCCTCGTCCGCTAAACTTACAAAACGCGGCGCTCAGCACACTAGGGAGAGGAAGAGGAGGAAGGGGGTCGATGGGGACGCTCTTCAAGTCCCTAAGCAACTTACGATCCTTAATTCTGTCTTGCAGAGCTTGCGTAGTGTCAGGGGGCCTCGAGTCCTGCTTAGATTCCCTTTTAAAATACGTGCGAGCCACTGACTCCATCCACTACTTCGTGCATCGTGTTATACATTACATCAGCACTCTGCAGGAGGAGGAGGAGGAGGACGAGGAGGAGGAGGAGGAGAGGAGGAGGAGGAGGAGGAGGAGGAGGAGGAGGAGGAGGAGGAGGAGGGAGGGGAGGAGGAGGAGGAGGAGGAGGAGGAGGGAGAGGAGGAGGAGGAGGAGGAGGAGGAGGAGGAGGAGGAGGAGGAGGAGGAGGAGGAGGAGGAGGAGGAGGAGGAGGAGGCGGAGGAGGAGGAGGGGGAGGAGGAGGAGGAGGAGGAGGAGGAGGAGGAGGAGGAGAAGAGGAGGCGGAGGAGGAGGAGGAGGAGGAGGAGGAGGAGGAGGAGGAGGAGGAGGAGGGAGGAGGAGGAGGAGGAGGAGGAGGAGAGAGGAGGAGGAGGAGGAGGAGTGAGGAGGGAGGAGGGCGGAGGCGGAGGCGGAGGAGGAGGAGGAGGAGGAGGAGGAGGAGGAGGATGAGGCCAGGGTCGTTTCGCCTGCGGCAGGCTCGCGCCTGCGGCAGGCTCGCGCCTGGCTGGCGCGGCGGGCACCCCCCTTCGCGGGCGTCCGCGGCCGAGTGCCGCCAGCGGCCTGGGCTTAAGTCGGGCCTGTCCCCCTGGAGGGGGATTTTCGACGAAAAACAACAAAACATTGTACAAATAGTTCAAAAATACTCAAAAAATTGTCTGGGAACAATTTTTTAAATATTTTTTGGCCACTCTGGGGCATTTTTGGGGTATTTTTTATTTTTCGTCGAAAATCCCCCTGTAAGGGGACAGGCCCGACCAAAGCCCAGGCTGTCGGACGACCTGCGCTGTCGGAAGGCCGCGGCGTCCGGGCGGCTGGCAGAGACCGCTGCCGACGTCACCGCGGCGCGGTCCTGCCGTGCCCGGCTTCCCGGCCTTCTCCGCGTGCCGGCCGGGCGGCTCCTCTTCGCACCTGCTCTCTCGTCGCCGCCGTCGCCGTCCTCCTCCTCGTCCTCCTTCTCCTCTTGTCGTCGTCGTCCTCCTCGCCGCCGTCGCCGTCGCCGTCGCCGTCGCCGTCGCCGTCGCCGTCGCCGTCGCCGTCGCCGTCGTCGTCGTCGTCGTCGTCGTCGTCGTCGTCGTCGTCGTCGTCGTCGTCGTCGTCGTCGTCGTCGTTATTGTTCTCGTCCTCGTCGGCGTCGGCGTCGTCGTCGTCGTCATCGTCGTTGTCGTCTTCGTCTTTTCCGCTGCTCGCACTGCCGCTCTTCAACCGTTTGCAGGACCCGTGGATGCTGGCCGACACGCTGACATCATTGGTGGTCTTCCCTGTTCTCACGGCGGCAGCTGTCAGAGGCGTGCTAGACCTGCGCCACACGCCGACCTCTCGTTGGACAGGCCCGACAGCCCGTGGGCTCGTCGTCGTCGTCGGCGTCGTCGCTGAGGTTCGAGGTTGTCTGGACGGTTTCGTTTCATTTGGTGCGCCTGGAGCTTTCCAGAGACCTCTGGTGAGCTCCAGGGACATCCAGAGACGACGAATACTTACACGCAGGACGCAGAATAACAAGCCCACGCAGCAACTAGTCATGAACGTAGCAATCGCAACGAGGAGCCGCGCCTGGGGCTCCAGGCGTCGGCCTGTTGCCGTTGCACCTCCCTCGAGACCAGACGTCGTGCAAAGATCACGGCGTTGTAACACAGGTCGCAACCAGAGCTTCTGACTTTGCATTTGTGAGGGATTCCACCCCGAGCACACACCCCTCAAGCGTTTCGTGCTTTCAGGGAGTTCCAACTACGACCCCAGTGGGAAAGTCCTCATGACTTGGGCTCGTGTGCGCCGTGGGCAGCTTCACCTATGCGCCCCAGTGAGAAAGTTCGCATGCGCCCCCGTGTCGATTATCCGCAGTTTCCTGCGGTAGGCTCGGGGGTTCCCGCAGATCCAGTGGGCCCGTGTGGGCCTCCAGTCTCCTCCTCCTCCTCCTCCTCCTCCTCCTCCTCCTCCTCCTCCTCCTCCTCCTTCTCCTCGAGAGCGGTGTGCGAAAGGTTGCGCGGGGCAGCATTCAGGAGGGAAGATAGCCAGCCAGGGTCGCCGGTGGAGTCTCTCAGACAGCTGCAGCAGCGCAGCAGCAGGACTTGTGCTCGTAGTGCCAGGGGCAGGGTGGTCCGCTGGGACAACGGGTGGGCCAATCAGTTCGACCCGGACGGCTCCAGAGATCGCCAGCTCCTGCGTTCTCTCGCTCCCTCTCTCTCTGTCTCCGCCTCCCGTCTTGCCTTGGCGGCAAAGATAAGGTGTTTGTGCGCTGATCTTCCAGTCTTATGCGATAGTTTGCCAGCGTGACGTGACACCTATCCCTATCCTTATGTTTGGTATCCTTCTACCTTGGTGCCGGTCTTCCTAGATTCTGCGGGCACGCTTTTGATATTGCCATCTCCATGGGCTTGCCGATCTTGGGGATAGGGATCAGTTCGAGGCTGGTTAATGGTTCAGGGATCCGCTCCGTGGGGCGCCTTGTCCACTCACGCTCGTGGTTTCTCCCCCCGCAGGATTTGTGAAAAGGCCTGGGGGAGGGCCCGCCCCGTTTTCGCAACACCGAAGCGCTGGACACACGGACCGCCTTGGGTTCAGCAGGGGCACGCTGCTCCTTGGGCCATTCCGTACTCCAGATTTCGTAATTTGAGGGAGTTTCTGTGGAAGGCGCGGTGCCCAGAGGAGCCCAGAGCGGCCTCCGGCACCGTTTCCGGACAGATCCGGTGGATCCGGTGGATCCGGTGGATCCGCCGACGAATCCCAAACCGGCGCCCTCGCTGGAGACATCCTCACAAAACCGGCCCCGGGGGAGGTGCCCAGAGGAGCCCAGAGCGGCCTCCGGCACCGTTTCCGGACAGATCCGGTGGATCCGGTGACGAATCCCAAACCGGCGCCCTCGCTTGAGACATCCTCACAAAACCGGCCCCGGGGGAGGTGACCAGAGGAGCCCAGAGCGGCCTCCGGCACCGTTTCCGGACAGATCCGGTGGATCCGCCGACGAATCCCAAACCGGCGCCCTCGATTGAGACATCCTCACAAAACCGGCCCCGGGGGAGGTGCCCAGAGGAGCCCAGAGCGGCCTCCGGCACGGTTTCCGGACAGATCCGCTGGATCCGGTGGATCCGCCGACGAATCCCAAACCGGCGCCCTCGCTTGAGACATCCTCACAAAACCGGCCCCGGGGGAGGTGCCCAGAGGAGCCCAGAGCGGCATCCGGCACCGTTTCCGGACAGATCCGGTGGATCCGGTGGATCCGCCGACGAATCCCAAACCGGCGCCCTCGCTTGAGACATCCTCACAAAACCGGCCCCGGGGGAGGTGCCCAGAGGAGCCCAGAGCGGCCTCCGGCAACGTTTCCGGACAGATCCGCTGGATCCGGTGGATCCGCCGACGAATCCCAAACCGGCGCCCTCGCTTGAGACATCCTCACAAAACCGGCCCCGGGGGAGGTGCCCAGAGGAGCCCAGAGCGGCCTCCGGCACCGTTTCAGGACAGATCCGGTGGATCCGGTGGATCCGCCGACGAATCCCAAACCGGCGCCCTCGCTTGAGACATCCTCACAAAACCGGCCCCGGGGGAGGTGCCCAGAGGAGCCCAGAGCGGCCTCCGGCACCGTTTCCGGACAGATCCGGTGGATACGGTGGATCCGCCGACGAATCCCAAACCGGCGCCCTCGCTTGAGACATCCTCACAAAACCGGCCCCGGGGGAGGTGCCCAGAGGAGCCCAGAGCGGCCTCCGGCACCGTTTCCGGACAGATCCGGTGGATACGCCGACGAATCCCAAACCGGCGCCCTCGCTTGAGACATCCTCACAAAACCGGCCCCGGGGGAGGTGCCCAGAGGAGCCCAGAGCGGCCTCCGGCACCGTTTCCGGACAGATCCGGTGGATCCGCTGGATCCGCTGGATCCGGTGACGAATCCCAAACCGGCGCCTTCGCTTGAGACATCCTCACAAAACCGGCCCCGGGGGAGGTGCCCAGAGGAGCCCAGAGCGGCCTCCGGCACCGTTTCCGGACAGATC